TTTGACAAAATAAAATAAAGAAGACAGTAAAATAAGACTCACACTCAAAAAGAATTTTTTTTTTTTCAAGTTCAAATGAAAATGATCCTCAATTGACTATATATATATATATATATATACAGAATACAATATATAGTAACAGTATGAAGTTTTATACTTGATGTGAGATGCTCACAGCTATGGTATATTTACTTTTCGATTCCTAGAAATCGTCCAAAGTTTGCTGTATGTAGGGACGGGTATGACATTTTTTCTACCGCTATAACTAACGCAAAATTGCTCTTGTTTTGGCTGTGTATTATAAATCAATGAGGTACTTTGTATGTCATCAATTTCAATCTCGTAAGATTTGCATCATTCACCTACGGCTCATGCTACAAACTTCATTCTCGTGGAATTTCATTATCATTCCGCGCTCGTTGAACAATATACTATTTCAGGATATCAAATATGGTGAATGCGCTTCCTCCGCCAAAACTTATTTTTTTTATAATTTCAACATTAAATCACTTTGACCAGTCTGCTTATAGCTAGTTATATTTTAAACAACTTATTTATGTCAATAGTGTCCCAAAAATTATCATCTGCTATGTACCAATGAAACTATACAGCATCATTCCTATATTCAGTAGGTGTATAGAGTTTTGCAAATTTCAACCGACAACGCTTCACAGGTTGATTTCCATCGTAATTGATAAATTTGGTACGAACCCAGAGTGTTTAGTTTGAGAGATACAGGATGTTGAAGTTCAGAAATTAACATTGTTTTCTCGCAGTAACTCAAGAACTGTTAAATTTGTTCCATTCAAATTCGGTATATGGTTTCATCATCAAATAAGTCAATTTTTGACAAGAAAGTGATTCCGAACATTTTATTCTGAGTTACGCTACAGGTGGTCGTGGTACCTGTTTCTCTCATATTATCATTTTCAACGCCACTGATGGGATTTCAATCATCTACAATTTTCTCATTCCTATTCAATTTTCTTGAGTCAATATGAAACCTTCAACTGAACTAAAATTAACTGTTGGTTAGAAAAATATTTTTCTTGGCGATTAGGTGCGCTTCTTAGCTTTCATTCTAAACAGGACATATTTTTTCCAAGCAGAAAAAATGAAACAAATATTCTTGTAATTTTATGATATTGAACATGATGAAAAATGACTTGAACTTTGTATCACGAAATCTGTTCATTTTAGCTCAGCTAAAGATCATGCGAAAAATTTTATAATCAAAATTTCATCAGCGATGTAGAAACGAGGAACTATGGAAGAAAACCCCCATCATGTGGCGTAAAATCGAATGAATTGAGCGAAGTCAAGACTTGAGGTTTTTTGGAAAGAAAATAATATGTCTGTGGTACTAAGGCAGCACCCGATATGTCATAAAATATCGAATTTTTGTTTTTAATGCCAATATATGCGACTAGGTGCATGCAAAGATTATGATGGAAAACTCGAATTGTATCTGAGGCTTTAACAACTAATAGCTGAATAAAAATATAAATCTACCAGGAAAAAATCAGCCATATTTTGATTTCTCAACTCCTGACATTGACCACTTGAAGATCTCATGTTTTTGCCTACCTCTTCATCACGCCGAATTTCGCTACACCCTGTATATATGCAATTGGAAAAAATATAGTTCATGAAAGACAATGCCATGGGAGATACATATAGCTTGACTTCCGAAAAAGGTTTTCAATGTATATTGACCCAGTAGGAATTGGTTTTTTGTTTTGTTATCACTTTTGAACGTGACTGTACTTTGAGAAAATCGGCAACTCTTTCGAATTCGACTAGTCATAATTTCCACAAGAAAGTTGTTACATTTTACAGTTAAAAGCTATATTTATACGCACAGTCGTAAAACTTTGTAATGAAGGTAATAATCACCTACCTGTGCATTTTGGGGCACAGCTCCCGACCAATCTCTATAATTAAAAAAATTCGTTTTCCGATGAAAGGTTAGGCACGGGTCGGTAAATAAGCTTCGAAATCCTGTTGTATGCAATTTCCCATTCCCACCTCGCTTTTCGGATATTAACTGATGTCGTTATCGAGGTTTCTGTTATACATAGTACAGTCTCAGCCAAAATATTAATCTCCAATGTAAAACTTTTCACTACGTCTATACTTTTTCAACTTCGAATTGAGAAACATCTTCAAATTGGGAGGAAATGATTCAGCATGGATTTAACACATTCAAATTGAAAATAAACAATTCCAAATTGAGACTAACCACTTTCAACATGTGGGAATAATCTAATTCAAATTGGGACAAAATGACTAGGCACGGTATAAACAAATCCAAATTCAAACTAAACAAATTCAAATTGAACAAATCGATTTCAAATCGGAACTTTTATATATTAAAGATGAAAACAGAAGTTTTGGAATGGTGGCTGAGCGCCATCTTAAATTTCTTTTTTAAATGGAGCACCTCCTATATTATTCCATTTACAAATCTCCTCATACTCCCAACGGTACCCACAATATGGAACTGATTGATTTGGAAGCGAATCTATTAATGATACCAAACACGAAATTCTGAGAAGGATTATAATTACATACAACTGTGATGAACATCGAATAAGCAAATATTTATATAAGTATTTCAGAGCATCAGGAATGAATTTCTGATCATTAGCTAGTATTTATTTCTATTAAATTCTGTACAATGATGTGATGTTCTCCAGTGATTTTGGTCGTCCTTTCTCATCCTTTCCCCTCCCCATTGTTTCTCTTTTTCGTCCCGATTCTTCACTCATCGATACGCTATTGATTTTTTCATGCCGAATGTATCCGCCAGACTCCTCCAATCACCATCATTATCAAATAACGCACAAATTTGATTTCTTATATTGTCTGCATCTTTTTTTATCTAAGTTATACCAATTCAAATACTAGGTACGATGAATTTGATTGCTAATAATTAGTTTTGATTTTGACACAATATTTTCGTTTCTCAATTTGAAGTTGTTTGGTCCCGAATTGAATGAGTTTATTCTCATTTTGACTGTGTTAATCAACTTGAATATGTTAATTCGTAATTTGAAACTGTTCATTCTGAATTTGAATATGATTATTCTCCATTTGATTGCGTTCATTCTCATTTTGATTCTGTTTACCAATTTGGATGTATCTAATTATAATGACTTGATATTATGATATTATGAAAATGATGTTCAACGTAAAATGTACCTATAGACTTTTCATCAAATGATGGCAGTATGTGAGATTTTCATAATTAATATCACTATGTTCTGAATATTCTAGATAATTCTGTTGCTTCATTGTTCACGAAATTGTATTGCAGAGCATCACCACGAGTCCGTCAGTCAGTCAAAAAACCAGAAGCATCCTTTTAGGTGATATAAAGATGCATATTATTCGTGTTCGATATGTTTCATATATAGTTTCAATAATTCACCAGACGTTATTGATATTGCTTCATCAGGCGCCGAATCAAATGAGAACCTACCAAAACAAGTGAACAGCTAGCAACCACGCCTGTGGCGCCGCCGTACCCAACAGGTGGGAATTCAAATATACGAGAGCTCCGACGCGTTCAGAGAAATAATAAATAAAAGCCACACACACTATGCAACAATACCAGATTCCGCTTACATTAGTGGGAAGACGAAAAACCGAAAGAGCTAACGATTTTATTATACAGACAAGAAGAAGTGAGATTCAACTGGTTTGACTTTTTCCTTCACCACCTTCTTCATCGTCTTCTTCTTCATCTTTTTCATCGTCTTCTTCTTTATCTTTTTCATCGTCTTCTTCATCTTCTTGGTCTTCTTGGTCTTCTTGGTCTTCTTGGTCTTCTTGGTCTTCTTGGTCTTCTTGGTCTTCTTGGTCTTCTTGGTCTTCTTGGTCTTCTTGGTCTTCTTGGTCTTCTTGGTCTTCTTGGTCTTCTTGGTCTTCTTGGTCTTCTCGGTCTTCTCGGTCTTCTCGGTCTTCTCGGTCTTCTCGGTCTTCTCGGTCTTCTCGGTCTTCTCGGTCTTCTCGGTCTTCTCGGTCTTCTCGGTCTTCTCGGTCTTCTCGGTCTTCTCGGTCTTCTCGGTCTTCTCGGTCTTCTCGGTCTTCTCGGTCTTCTCGGTCTTCTCGGTCTTCTCGGTCTTCTCGGTCTTCTCGGTCTTCTCGGTCTTCTCGGTCTTCTCGGTCTTCTCGGTCTTCTCGGTCTTCTCGGTCTTCTCGGTCTTCTCGGTCTTCTCGGTCTTCTCGGTCTTCTCGGTCTTCTCGGTCTTCTCGGTCTTCTCGGTCTTCTCGGTCTTCTCGGTCTTCTCGGTCTTCTCGGTCTTCTCGGTCTTCTCGGTCTTCTCGGTCTTCTCGGTCTTCTCGGTCTTCTCGGTCTTCTCGGTCTTCTCGGTCTTCTCGGTCTTCTCGGTCTTCTCGGTCTTCTCGGTCTTCTCGGTCTTCTCGGTCTTCTCGGTCTTCTCGGTCTTCTCGGTCTTCTCGGTCTTCTCGGTCTTCTCGGTCTTCTCGGTCTTCTCGGTCTTCTCGGTCTTCTCGGTCTTCTCGGTCTTCTCGGTCTTCTCGGTCTTCTCGGTCTTCTCGGTCTTCTCGGTCTTCTCGGTCTTCTTGGTATCCTTGGTCTTCTTGGTCTTCTTGGTATTATATGAATATATATGATGTATATAGGTCAATAAATATTTAACAATATCAAATTATCACAAGGGAAAAATTGTCTCATTAGGGAATGATCGAGATCATGTATATAATTCATATATAGTATACTGAGCGTTTCATTCAATTCGCATAATTATTTATATTTATATTTTCTACATCCAATTGACTTGTTTGTTTTAAATTTATGTTCCTTCCTCGAATATATTAGTTCTTTAGGTGCGTTCCATTTCTATATACATACAAATCCGAGTCGAACCAAAACAAGATACGACGATAGTACCAGTACCAGTATTGTCGAGTACTGTACACGCATTACACAGACATTATTATTCAAATCAGTTTCTGTTTTGGTACAAACAAGAATATGTTTTCTCGTTGACAATGTCTTGTTAGACATTCGTGAGTCATTTTAATGATATTTCTTAAGGATATGGCTCGCTTGCGCTCTATACACTTGTCTGGACGCATACATAATAGTAATAATGATAATAATAATAATTAAATCAGATAGCTGACAGCTGGTGGGCACAAATTACTGGGGATAGGTGATTTTCACTTGATCCCATGGTTTTGATAGTATCTCAAATTGAAACTCCTTTCATTCCTTACCAAGGCAGTCGTTATATCAATATTTAATTTTTTTCAATGGAATAGAGGACATTTTTTATTCACCATGGATAAAAAATGTGGATAATTGAAAAATTACCAAAACTTTTCTCGCCAAACCTGGTCTAATTTTATACAAGCTTTCTTAATTACTTATGTCGTCAGATCCACATACTATATGTATAAAGGGTGTACCTAAATAACAGCGAAAAAAATCAAGGGGTATTTCCTTGTGACATTCTAGCAAATAAAGTTCATATAAACTTGCTCCATTTTTGAGATACAGGATGTTGAAGTTGGAAGTATTAATTGTTTTTATTCATAACCCCCTTGTATAAGCTTTCATGGTGCCAAATTTCAGTATGGATGGAAACTGAGAATGCCCCAAAATTTCAGAATGAATCTAATTGGGGTTATTGAGTAATCTCAATGGAAGTCTGGAAAACACCTACATTAAAATTTGGAGTCAAATCGAATTTTTATTGTTTCTTCAAAAACTAAGCTAGATACAAAAATCACACAGACGATAAAAAAGTTGTTATTTTAATAGTTCAATCTAATAAAAATATGAAACTCAGAAAAACCGGTGGTGTACAATAACATTCACCATGACTATCGATAAATTTACCCACTGTAACGCTACTGGAAATATTATTTCGAATCTAATTACACTAGAAGAAGCTCCATATTACTATTAACAGAACCACAACGTTTTATGGAAATTGATGAAAAGAAAATTGAGAAATGAACCGAAAAAAGATTTTTCATGGAAATATGAATACCCATCAGCTGTATCTCGAAAACGAAGCAACTTTATTTCCTAAAATATCACAAGGAATCACCAGAGTTTTTCGACTTTTTCGGTGTTATTGAGATACACCCTGTATACTGTGTTCGAGATAAGTTTTTAGGGAGAAAGTTGCGTTGACTATCACACTAAAATGCCATTTATATGGTAGCATGGTTTTTGGACACAGTATAAATACTGCAAAAATCCTATTGACTCAATCAGACTTGCAACCTGATATGATATATTCTCCATTAAACGAAATAATCCCAGAAACATAGTGGAAATAATCCTATAAAAAGCTAATGCCCTACTTTGAAGGGTTTCAACTGAACCATTTTCAGCCAGTATATCTTGTAACTCCACTCGCAATGGAAGACGGTGAATACGATAATCTGGAATATAAACACTCCAATGAGGTGAGATTTGAAAGTGCTCAAAAATCTTGTGATTTTGGGTGTACTTCTGTTCCACAAACTTCACTTAATTATGAGAGTATAGTAAGTGATACTTGGTGCGTGTGACCACATCATTTCCGATTCCATATTTTTTCATGATACGGAATGATTTCAAATTTCTCAAATTGTCCGAATGAAGAATAAGGCTCAATTTCATTTGGAGCATATATATCTGTTTGGCAATAGTATTGAATAACTTATCACACTGTGCTCGACGTGAAATAGAAACACATACATAATATCCATTTTATTCTGAGGATTTGTTTTAAGGATCATGGAATGGATATGGACGATCTACTTCCCCAAGTGGGCGAATTTGGAACCTACCAGAAACTCATGCTGTGGTTGGTATGTCTTCCAGCTTGCTTTCCTTGCGGATTCGGTGCCTTCAACCAGCTTTTCATGGCAGACGTTCCAGACCACTGGTGCAACATACCAGAACTACAAAACTTTCTCCCAGAAATTACCAAGAATGTATCCATACCTTTCGAGGACAATGGTTTCTCAAGGTGTAGTAGATACGTAGTGAATTGGTCGAGACTTATAGAAGACTCGGGTGGTACAATAGAGGGCGTTGAGGTGAACAGCTCATGGTCAATTGAAGGATGCCTGGAAGGCTGGGTGTATGACAGAAGCAAAGTTGTTTCTAGTATCGTTATAGACGTGAGTTGTTTTATATGTTCACCAGAAGAATATAAACCTGTGCCACTTTTCAGTTCGACCTGGTTTGTGACAAAGACATTTACCCAACGTTAGGCCTGGTAGCTCTGAACGTAGGCGGTCCCATAGGAGTCTACACTTTCGGAAGGTTGAATGATACCATCGGTCGAAAGAAGTCGTTTTTCTTATGCCTCACTACCCTTTTAATAGGTGGCATACTGACGGTGACTGCCCAAAATTTTTGGTGGTGGGCAGGTAGTCGAGTAGTTGTCGGGCTGACAATACCCGCCATGTACCAAATACCTTTCATCATTTGTAAGTAGTTTCCTCATATCAGTCGATTTGATTCTAATACTTTATTTTCAGCTCTGGAACTTGTTGGTCCCAACTATCGATCTTTCGTCACTGTGCTAACATGTATGTTCTATACAGTAGGTCTGATGATGCTGTCCGGCATAACCTACTTGATACGGGACTGGGTCCACTTGGGCTTAGCCACGTCCTTACCGTTCCTCCTCTATTATTTCTACTGGTTTTGGTTGCCAGAGAGTCCTAGGTGGCTGTTAGCCAAAGGTCGTTTCGAAGAAGCCTCGAAGATTCTAGAAACGCTAGCGAGAGTTAACCAAAAAGCCTTGCCGGATAGCTTCAAGCAACAGCTAAAGAGGAAAATCATGTACAAACCGAGTAAGAGTGAAGAGGAAGCATTGAAAAAGAGTCCAGGCTGTTTCGAGCTGTGCGGTACCCCTAATATGAGACTGAAAACCACTTTGATAACGCTAAACTGGTTCGCCAACGAGACGGTATACGTAGGTTTGAGCTACTATGGACCTTCCCTTGGCAGCAACGAACACCTCAGTTTCCTTTTGTCTTCTGCAGTGGAAATTCCCACGTATCTAGCGTGTTGGTTGGTCATGGACAGATGGGGAAGACGATGGCCTATATGTACGTGTATGTTGATTTGTGGAGCGTGTTGCCTAGCAACTGCTACGATTCCCGATGGTAAGGCCCTTGGATTGTATCCTTGTGGGACTCTACATCAAAATGGGGTAGGATGAACTTTATATGTTTCAGATGCTGTTGGAATAACCTTGGTGCTTTTCTTGGTATCCAAGTCTGCAATATCAGCATCTTTTCTTATTATTTATCCATTTGCTGGTGAGCTTTATCCCACTCAGCTGAGAGGTGTAGGAATCGGTACATCTGCTTACATTGCAGGTCTAGGACTCATCATAATACCTTTCATCACGTATCTCGTAAGATTTTAGGCCATTTATAGACAATCCGATTTCTCATGTGCTTTTTAGGGTTCAGAAATGTTGATATTACCATTGATTATCATGGGTGTTATATCGATTTTGGGTGGTTTGACTGGTCTCAGACTTCCTGAGACATTGCATCATAAATTACCTCAAACTGTTGAAGAGGGGGAAGCATTCGGCAGAGATTTCAATTTGACAGATTGCTTACGGTGCATACCTTTGAGGTACGTGCGAGACCGAACCTGCTTTCACATATCGAAAATTAAGATCTGCGGTTTCCAATCCCTCTAATGATTTGGTTTTAGGCCTGAAACATCCGTTGTTAGTTCCTATGAGGATTTGGAGTTGACACCTGTCAAAGTAACGCCACATGAGGAAACTCCTTTCGAACCGAAAATGCCGAGGAGATCGACGATGAGGAAATTGGTACGGCAACAAAGTACCATGGATACACAGAGAGGTTCAAACGGTACGATGCAAATGACGTATTGGTTTTAAGTTATTGTGTTGTATATGTATAGTAATATATACGATTATTTGTAAAATACCTTATTATTGAATGAAGTTTCATCACTACTTGTACACCTACTTCATGAAATATTATGTAATGCCATAATTAACAAATGAAAGATGGAGAGTTTTTCAGGAGACTTGATGGACCACGTTGTGGAACATATTGTATACTCCTCGTATCCGTATATACATATTCATCATTCCTCGTATTCACGTTCGCGGTTCAACAATGTGGCGACATCTAATGGTGAATATCTGAAAATCTGAATATTGTGCCACAAATCTAGTCAGCTCTGCCTGCTGAGAGCTGACTAGATTCCTTTCTCATTTAGCCGGAGGGCCAGAGCTGACTAGATTCCTTTCTCATTTAGCCGACATTGGTCAGAGAATTTGTGTACTGTGAGTACTGTGGCCAGAACCGACTGAAGTCATCGGTCAATTATTGTCAAATTGTCATTGTCAATCAGATGTTTCTCAGCAGTTCCTGAAACCTGAAAGAGAATCTTTCTTTACTGAAAATCTGAGTAGTGAAGTGGATTTCAGACGTGTACTGTGTACATTTTAACTGGAATGAATTGTGTAGGAAATGTGCAAAGAAACTATTGTTTGATAAGAGGTCTTGTAATTGTATCATAGAGTGAACCTTGTAAAATACCAGAATTTTCAATATTTCAACCATACTTTGTGAATTAATGGGAAAGAAGCAATATTTCCAGTATGACATTGCCCAACCCTGAATAATTTCGGTTGGATTCCTGTTATATTTTTAATGCATTTGACCCCTGTTCCATAAACATTTCCTTGATTCCTTGTATTCCATACAATATAATCAAAATAAAGCAAAGTGTGGAATGATGTAAAATGTACCATGTACCAAAAAATCAAACTGATGAAATAGCAGATCAGTTTTGGAAACATCCTACCTATTATCTGTATTGATAACACTAGAGCATCCCACACTAACTAGCAGAACTGGTTTTGTCATGTTATCAGGCTGATCTTCATGTGAAAAATGAACAAAGATGATTTCGACCTACTACATCAGCTTAGAAGAGACCATGCAGATAATGTAGCTCTGAATCTGATAAAAGGATTACATGAGCGGCAAAATGGTTTCTTCAAGAAAAACTTCAAGTCAAAAGAGAATGTGGAGACTTTTGCTGAAGAAGAGTTCATCAGGAAGAAAGACTTCAATGAGTTGGTAAGCTACAAAGTGGAAACTGATATGGAACATTACTCTCTCCATTTCTCTAGAAAATTTGAACTGTGTTTGGTTTAGGTCAATTGTTAGTCAATTTTGTTTTTTTTATGTTGTATTCCATAAGTTATCTATTATCCTGATAAAAAACAGGAAGATAGAAATAGGTATCACTTTTGTTTAGCGTTGTGAGATGCCTGGTATCCCCAGATCCACCTTCTTGATGGTATTCAGTCCAGATGGTTCTAAAGTAGCTTCAACCCATGGCAATCACAACATTTATATCACAGATCTGAGAAATGGAAAGAATATTCGGACTCTGGTGGGACATCCTAGGACACCTTGGTGTATAGCTTTCCATCCTACATCTGATCAGATTGTAGCATCTGGTTGCTTGGGTGGCCAAGTCAGAATTTGGGATTTGAGTGTGAGTAGAAGGAATATTGTTTATCTGTTTACTGTTTATTGAGGAACTAGCTTCCAGCTTTGAGTATTTATAATCAATCCAGTCAGAAATAAAATTCTGGTATGAGGAAGTTGATTACAAACAACAATAATAAAATAATATAAGGTGACAACAACAACTAACAAAAATCTAAAAATGCTAAATAGTTCAAGTCATAAAAATAGCTACAGGGACTAAGATGGCAAAGTATCAATTTCATCCATTTTGTAATAAAATCATGTGTTTTTTAAATTTTGAAATATGTCTGCAATTTTTTATATCATGTGGTCAATAATTCAGCTGGAGCAGTGTGAGTAAATTTTTTTTGCCAATTATAGAAGTAGCAGAATCAAGATGAAATAAGTTTAATTGTCTCCTGTGATGACCATGAATTTTTGAGTTTCTTATCAAAACAAAATTGGATTGCAGATTATTGTTTATGATATTATATGAAACTTTAAGAGAAACTATTTTATATAATTCATTCAATGAAAATTTTTCTGTTATCACATACAGATCATTTGTTGGGATATCAAATGAGAGGCCATACAATACTTTCAGTGATTTCTTATAAAGTGCAGATATTTTACTGAAATAATATTAGATATTGGTCCTAATTAGTTTCAGAAAGTTACCTGTAAAAATTGAGAATTTTGTGTAAATATTGTCATTGGTGAAGTTTTTACATTTACTATCAATTTTCATCTAGTAACAGCTGAGTCAATTGAAAAAAAAAAGTAATCTTCCCAATGTTTCACACAAAATTCACAGAAGTAATTAATTGATGTTGATGTGTTTTATTTCTACCCAAGTCCTACTCCTACCTGATATTTTTCTCTGGTGCTTTTTTGAATAGTCCTAAACAGCTCAATAAATTTTCAATATCCCATAGGAAATTTTATTCTCATGACCCTCATGAAATTATAAAAAAAAAATCTTATCCATTTACACTGATATTTTTATTCATATTCATCATGTATTTTTTAGGTTTTGAGCTTAATGAATTAATCATTGTATTGTATATTAAGATATTTCCTACCAATAAAGATTTCAATCATTCATTCATTTCATTCATAAATATGAATTGGTTGAGGAGATTTTGATATATTTCTTAGGGAGGTAGTGAAGTATGGACTGCAGTAAATCAAACAGTAATAGCTTCCCTAGCATTTCACCCCAATGACAGAGTGTTAGCTATAGCTACATACAATGGGGTATACTTTTGGGATTGGAGTCAACCTGAACCATTTGTCCATGCTGCCACATACAATGTCAAAGAAAAGGTATGAATAGTAACAAATAGAATTCTTGGTAATTTGATCATTTAATACCTTTTCTTTAGGTTAGGTATGTGGCATTTGATGCTTTGGGTCACAAACTCATCACGGGAATAGCCAACAGTCCGATGACGAGATGGGAGAGGGTTAGGGCTCCGGTGCCAGTGCCGAGACAGGAGCGTTGTGCCAGCCCTTACAGAAGACGTATCACACAGCGGTTGGTGAATAGTGCTCAACCTACCCAAAACCAGGTACTTTTTCGGAAATTCAATGTGTTTTGAAATTAAACTGAATTGTATAGTTCTTATTTGTGATTTTCCTATTTTTTTCCTACAACCCCCTAACAATAAATGGTAATGGTAGTGTATAATTGAAGAGGCGCATGTCTAGGAGATTTCAAAACATTTATACGCCTCTGAAATCAAAATTTTCCGAAGGATAAACCGCGGTGGAATTCTGGTGTACAAACAACTGGAATTCCTTGGAATTTCCTGGAATCTCCTGGATTTCCTAGGAATTCCCTGGAATTTCTTGGATTTCCTTGGAATTTCCTTGAATTCCTTGGGTGAAGTGCAGTATATTCCTGGTCTACAAACAACTGGAATTCCTTGGATTTTCTTGGAATTCCTTGGATTTTCTTGGAATTCCTTGGATTTTCTTGGAATTCCTTGGTGTTCTTTGAAATTCCTTGAATTTCCTTGGAATTTCTTGAATTTCCTTGGAATTTCTTGAATTTCCTTGGAATTCCTTGGATTTTCTAGGAATTCTTTGGTGTTCTTCGAAATTCCTTGAATTTCCTTGGAATTCCTTGAATTTCCTTGGAATTCCTTGAATTTCCTTGGAATTCCTTGGATTTTCTAGGAATCCCTCGGATTTCCTTGGAGTTCCTTGGATTTCTTTGGATTTCCTTGGAATTCCCTGGAATTCCTTGGAATTTCTTGGAATTTCTTGTGTGAAGTGCTGTATAATCCTGGTGTACAAACAACTGGAATTCCTTGAAATTCCATGAAATTTCTTGTGAAATTGAAGTTTGGTGTATACAATTTTGACCGCGGTGTACTCTTCGAAATTTTCAATCGTTTTGTAGGGTGTGGAATCGAAATTTCGACTTAGGAAAAATTTGTACGCCCATATAGTCGAAAAAAATTTCGGGAACTCAGATTTCAAGTTATTGAAAACATTGGATGCGCCTGTGTAGTTGCACTTTTCAATCTCTTTCAGTATGAAGTGTTGAAAAGATTTTAAAATTCTGACATTTTTTTATTTCCGATCCGAAAAAAATGGTTATCCTGATGTCTCATTTTTATTCTCTATGAACGTACGTCGAGGGAATTGTTACAAAAATTCAGAAACCATACTTAGGAAAAAAGAGGATACGTCTCTGAAGCCTATTTTTTTATTTTGTCCATATAATAAGACTTTACTGGTACTAAATACACATACAAAAACATTTTTCTTGCTTCATTTAACTCATGTAAAATTGGAGCCATTTTTTCTGAAAAACTCAATTTTTTTGGAGTTCTGAGTAGGTCTGATGGCTTTTTAGAGTCCCTGACCTGAATTTTGAATAGTTCCAGCAAATCGTAGATGTAAATGGAAAAAAATAATTTTGAGCGCCGTTTTTTTTTTCGAGAAAATGAGTTCTGATATATTTTTTTGTTGTATTATAAAGATTTTTGGAGTTCTGAACCTATTTCATCAATAGTTCTAGTGAACTATAATGAAATTATTGAATAATTCGAGGAAACAAAATACGAAATTGTGTTTCATTAGGCGGCATTTCTTGGTGAAGAAAAAGTTTTCCAGAAAAAAAGGATCAAAATCATCAGAAAATATGAAATCTGAAAGAAATCAGCTGTCATAAGGTGCCGAACAGTTCTGATGGTAGTTCTGAATAGTGCTCGACGAGTTCTTCAAAATATTTTTATTGTGTTTTAGTGTCAAATCGATAATTTTTCATTTATCAGCTGTCATAAGGTGCAGACCTCAAAAAACTAACATTTGATAAAAAATGTATTTCAAAGAACAGAACAGTTCTGATGAGAATTCGAGTAGCGCTTGATTAATCACTAAAACACAATAGGAATATTTTGAAGATGTCGTCGAGCGCTACTCAGAACTTCTGTCAGAACTGTTGAAAAAGTATCGATCTGTCACTAAAACACCATAGGGATATTTTGAAGAACTCGTCGAGTGCTACTCAGAACTCTAATCAGAAGTATTATAATTCTTTGAAATTAAGTATTTATCGAAATTGTTATTTCGACACCTTATGACAGCTGATTTCTTTCAGATTTTATATTTTCTAATGATGTCAATCCTTTTTATCTCGAAAACTTTTTCTTCAATAGGAAAGAGAAGGGAAAAGTATTCCATCAAGAAATGCCGCCTATGGAAACACGTTTTCGTATTTCATTTCCGTGAATTATTCAATAATTTGCTTAGTTCATCAGAACTATTGATGAAATGGGTTTAGGACTCCAGAACTCTTTATAATACTATGAAACAATATATCAGAACTCATTTTCTCGAGAAAAACGGGGCTGCATGGAATTAGCGCTCAAAATTAATTTTCTCCATTTAAATCTACGATTTGGTGGAACTATTCAAAATTTTTGCCAGGCTAGATTCCCATCAAATCTACTCAAAGCTCCCAAAAAATTATTTGTTTTTAAAAAGTAACGGCGCCAACTTCACATCAGTTTTAACTCAAAGAATATTTCTGTAATTTCCCTTGCAGCCACCTCCCGCCGCCTCAGAACCCACCACCTCCCAACGACCCAGGGACCCTGTGGTCAGCTACCCAGAACGCGAAAGACGCATCGCCCTGTGCTACCGCACCTTGGTCAAAGAATACGAGCAGCTGGTGCAAAGGTACCTGCAGCTGTACCGGCCACCCCTGATGATAGACCGCGGCACCGATCCCATGGAACCCAACAATGCCTCCGAAAGGCCCAACAGGTCTTCTAGGGGCGGTAGTTCAAATGAACCGGCAGAGAGTTCTAGCGCCGATCCCATGGAACCCAACGATTCCTCCGAGAGGCCTGCCAGAGCGAATTCTTCGCCCAACAGGTCTTCTAGGGCAGGTAGTTCAAATGAACCGGAAGAGGGTACCAGCACTGACCCCATGGAACCCAACAATTCCTTTGAGAGGCCTGCCAGAGCCAATTCTTCTCCCAACAGGGCATCTGGGGGCGGTAGTTCAAATGAACCGGAAGATGGTTCCAGCACTGACCCCATGGAACCCAACAATTCCTCCGAGAGGCCTGCCAGAGCGAATTCTTCCCCCAATAGGGGACCTGCAGGTGTTTCTTTGGGCGTTAGTTCTAATACTGATCCAATGGAACCCACTGAACGATCTGTTGAAGCTAATTCTTTGCCTGGAAGGTTTTCAGATAGAGCTGGTGGAGCTGCTTCTGGTGGTAGTTCAAATGAAATGGAAGCGGGTTCCAGCACCGACCGGATGGAACCCAATACTTCCACTGAACGATCTGCTGGAGGTAATTCTTTGACTGGGAAGTTTTCGGAGAGAGCTGGTGGAGCTTCTTCTGGCGCTAGTTCAAATGAACCGGAAGGGGAGCCCAGTACGTCGGGTACTTCGAGGTTCCAGAAGGATGGGCAGTCTAGTAGTGCTGTTATGGAGGGTGGAGGTCGCGGTGGAACACTGCTAGATGGTAAGATAGCAATGGAGTTTGTTTGGAGTTTTTAGAGTTGTATGGTGCTCTTGGTGAATTTTTGAATTTTGTTGAAATTTCTGGAGTTCCTTGAATTTCTCAACAAATCTTTGGGATTCCTTGGAATGTTTGGGAAATCATTTTGAATTCTTTTGGATAATTTGAAACTCTCTGGAATTTGTTGGATCCTTCAGTTCTTTAGAAGGAAATGAAATACCTTGGAATTGTATAGAATGTATCAGAACTTCTTGGAGTTCTTTCAATTCTCTGAAATATAAATTTATTCTATGGAAATTCCTTGAAATTTCTTAAGATTTCTAGAAATAAATTGAAAATCCAAAATAATTTTGGGTTTTATGGAATTCCTCGTAATTCTCTAAAATTTCATGGAATTTATATGAAATGCCTTGAAATTATTTGGTTAGCTATTTTGAACTTCTCGGAATTTTTTGTAACTATGACTTTCATCAAAAATTCCTTGGTCTCCATTAAAATCCTTCAAAATAATTTTAAAACGATTTCATTATTTTTTGAACATTTCAGAATTGATTATCCAAAATATTCTTAAATTCTATGGAATGCTTGGTGAATCCCTTTCTTGGAACAACCTTGAATAAATTCTTCATTGAAATTCCTTGATTTTTCGGAATCATTTTCTAAAACTCAGGAATCTCTTTGAGATCCATTAAGTCTTGAAGAAATTTTTTAAATGGGGAAGTTTCCTTCAAATGAATTTTCATAAGATAAGTTCGGAACTCTCCAGTTGTACAGAATGGCGACCGATAATGTCCAAGTTGTTTTCATTTTCAAATTGAAGCAATTTCTAATTTTTGGGGCGGCAAACTGTGACGTACATTCTGAATCTAACCTGAAAATAGCTGATGTTGAAGAATATAGCTAGCAAATAGTTAACGAATAGCTAACGAATGAAAAACGATTGAAAAAAATAGAAGAAGAAGTAAAACTGGTAAACAAAAACATGCATAACCACAAATGCACTCGGAGCAGGAATGCAGAGGGTAGTTGGCTTCATTCTGACAGGTTATGGTTTTGTTATTTATGCATTGAAATATCGCGAATGGAGCTCGATTCTAAACAAAAATATCATTGAATCAATGAATCACTATCGGCTACATTCAATAATACTATCCTTCCTAATTTCCTGTCATCGGTCAAAACAGAATGAAGCCGACACCCATGGCTCCTTCCTCTTGTTGTGCCTGTCAGTATTTTGAGTGGTGTGGACGGACTCCAAGTATTAGGCGATGTTGCAAGATATAATCTGCAACTTTCCTAGGAAATAGATCCGTTCTATTAAAGAACGAATTCATTAGCAAAAAAATGACCGACAAGTTATGAATAACATATTGTAATATAACGATGGAAATGGTCGCATAATTAGAGAACGAAAGAGGATTATATTTCCTTGGTTTTGACCATTTTGCGACTCTTTTTCATTTTTTCTCTGGAAAATAACCAAAATTGTTTAATTTACATTTTTAACAATGTTGCTGGCCTTGTACGAGGGGGTAAATTTTTACAAAATACAACTTCTGTGAAAGTTTGAAATGTTTTGCTATTTTTTCTCCATTTTTGCTGAAGTGATTGGCCTATAAAGAAAAGGAAATTATTATTAAACTTCGATTTGATAAACGATTCTTTCTCCCCTTCCAGAACCCTCCCCTTCAGCCAACACCTCATTGCCTCCCTCCCCTTCGAAATCAGCCCACAACCTGCTCACCCCCAGCCGGATCTTTTCTGTCATCAAAAAACCCAGCACGCTGATCCGCGGCACTCAGACCTCGGAATCGAAGAAGCACAAGCAGCGGGACGGCGACGAACCCAAAGAGAAACGCTTCAAAAAAAGCGACGGAAGCAAAGCGAAGAATTCTGAGGCGGCTCAGAAAACTGAGAAGAGTATCGGTAGTGCCGGGGCGGCTCGGAAAACCGAGAAAAACGACGGCGCTAGAGCGAAAAATGGAGGGAGTGGTGGGGCGGCTCAGAAAACTGAGGGGACTCAGAAAATTGAGCTGGCTCGGAGGAGTGAGGTTCCGACGCCGAGGAGGATGGTGGTGATCAACATGCAGCGGCTGAGGTCGCCTGCGAGTGGGGGTGGTTCGAGTCCTGATGCTCCAGGTAGGGGAATTTTCAGGGAGGAGTTTTTGATATCGGGCGATTTGTTGATGATTTGACGAGATTTTTTTTTTGAGAACCGAAATTGTGACTCCAAGGGCGTACTGATTCTTTTCTGATGGAGTCAATAATGAATCAACATAAATAGTATCAAAATTGCGACTTTTGTATACAGGGTGGCCCTTTGAAAACGAAACAGAGCCCCTGTAGGTCTCCAAAACCGGATTATGAAAAAGATCTGAAACACTTCAACGACATTTTCGAGGGGGACTTCATTGTGAATTATTTTCAGCTCTGCGGCGTTGCCGCTTCTAACGAAAATTAGCAACAACTTTGTTATCGCAAATTGAACACCCTGTATTTCATTGCATCTTTGGATTCTCTCCAAAGAGCTGATTTCATCAATGCATCACACTTGAGATCTGGCGGCAATGATTACAGAGCTATAGGGTGTTCAAAATCGAGATTTTTCACTTTAGGAATTTTTTGTGTCCAAACTATTCATTCTTCTCTCAGTCTAGGATTAGAAAGTTGCAACTTCGAAATTTTGTTCTACATTCATATTTTAATTTTTTTTATGAGGTGGCGAAATAAATGAGAACAAAATTCATTCTGAATGGATGAAAACTAATAGATATGCAGGAATTTCGAAATTTTTATTCATCATCCAAAATGGAATTCCAAAAATTGTAACTCTACAGGCATAGCCATTTTTCTGTTAGTAAACAAATTTCTAATATTCAAGATCTGTCCAAGAAAATATCAAAATTCCGACGTCATGGGCTCATCAATTAATTTCTGCGGGTTTAAAATTTCTAAGTATAAATTTCAAAAATTCTTCGACGCACCTCAGCAGGGAATTGAAATCGTCACTTCTCACTTTTTCAAACTATTTATTTTCTACTCACTTCTCTTTAGTTTGACAATCTATGGTTTGACTATCTATAAAAACGCGTTCCATTAGTTTTTCAAACTGCTATTTCTTACAATAGCTCATACCCGGCAAACGTTGTTTTGTATATACATTTTTTTCTGGAAAATATTTTTTTAATTAAATATTTATCAACACACTTATTATTTTGTTCTCTACTTCTTTTTAGTGTGGCTATCTATAAAAGCCACATTATTGTTTTTATTTATTTATTTATTTCAGTTATTTCATTACATTATCTTCTTCATTGATACATTTCATACAAATAATATATAAAGTATAATTAATTTTTTAGTAGGAATGACATGAATGATCAGACAGTAATTCCTGGTATAAGATCATTCATGAAGTATTATCGACTGTTGTATAATTGAAATTACAAATAATAATATAATATGAGGTGACAACAACAACAAACAATCTAAAAATTTCTTCTGAAGCAATCATAATCTCCGACCTCAAAACCCCCCCTACAAATTTCGATAGAATCTGACCATAATTACCAAAGGTTTCCGCTATTTTGGGTCCGCCATCTTGAATTTCAAAATTTTGACGAAAGCATTATAATCTCCGTTCCCGAACACCCGCAGATACCAATTTTGAATAGAATCGAACCATAATTTAAAAAAACTCGTCCGCCATATTGGATCCGCCATCTTGAATTTTCGATTTAAGAAATATATTACGACCGATTCTCATACCTACCGATTACGGTCCAGCCGTTTCGGAGAAGTTTGGCCACTAACACCGTAACTGGGACAGGAGAATTTCATACATTAGATACAGTGTGACCCACTTCTAATGGTACCACCCCTGTATCTTACGTAATCGTTGGGTAAGGTTCCTGAAATTTGCTGGAGCGAGAGATATACCAAAAATGCACTCTATGACCAAGTGGGGTCATCTTCAGTGATAAACACTGCTCACCAACAGCCATGAAACTAACCCAATTTTCGGAAAATGTATTAGGAGTCAAAATAGGTCGAAAATCACTTCAGATTTGGAATCAGGACGCCCAATTTACTAACTATTCAAATTTTTCCTGGAAAATTTTCAGTTCGGAAAAATGAAATTTTGTCGCATTTTTTATGGAAGCACCCCCGTATCTCACGTAATTGACTTTATCTTTGGACTTTCTCTTCCTCCGGCAAATTTCAGAACCCTACCTCAATAATTACTAGCTTCTATCTCCTCCTGAAGATGCTAACCTAGTTAGCGAAACACTTGTCAAAGAGTATAAAAAAATCGGTTTGGTTAGTTGTAAAACAGTGTAGTGTATTATCGTGCCAAAGGTTCCAGCCTTCGATATAGTTTCACAATGATTTCCGTATATTTCAAAGGATTCTCGGCCTGACAGTGTCGTTCATGTTGCAGGCACCTCGGGCTTCAGGCTGAGATCGGCTCAGGACGACCTTTCTGAGAGCTCATTGGGTAGATCAGAGGAAGGTGATACAGGGCAGAGTAACGTGGACGAATTGTTATCAAATATCAGGCGGACTGCCGAAGAAGAGGTCAGAAATAGAATATTGCCGATTATCAGGAGCGTACCTGCTAACGATCGACCAGAACTAATAAGGTATTCTCAGTTTTCCTGCTCATGAGAAGCATCTCAAGCAAAACAAATATCGATTGTTTGAAGGGCACTAGGGTTTTGGTCAGTTCTATCGAAGAATTGGAAAGTTATCAATTTATTTTCGAATGAGTAGATGCAATTTTTTTTTAGACTTTTTGAAAACAGCAGAGAGCACGTCAGGATGCGTTTCAGAAGAATGTACCCTTGTCCGAGGAAATTCAATCGTCTTCCGATCGACACAACTTCTGACAGCAGTTCTTCTGATGATGAACAATCGACCAGTAATCGTTTGACCAGAAGGAATTCAGAACCTTCTTCACCACCCAGGTAGGAAAATTTTAGTGTTATCATATCATTAATTCAAATTTCATTATCCAGGCCTGATACCATAAGAACATTTTATTCGATTGTTATTTATGAATTTAAAAAAAAATATGTTCACAACTTGAAAAAGCAGCAAAACATTTTATTGCAACTTTCTTTTACTTTTCAAAACATAGATTACCGGTAAAAGCATAGTCTGAATGTTGTAATAAATTGATAAAAATCTTGAAAAGTAATATTCTCAGAACATGGAAAAATGGATATATACCGGGTGTCAACGAATCTATCAGACAAGTCATAACTTCTAGACCATCAGGTGTATCAAAATGAGATTTGGTATAGGTAAATGGTATGTGAAGAGGAGAGTTTTCACATATTTTTCACTTTTCGGTCACTTCCGGTTTCACCGGAAATGGCTCCGGTTCTAAATTTTTAAATGGAACACCCTGTATATTGTAACATTTTTGGATTTCTGAGACAATTCTAGATCAGAATGTGACATTTTTGATAGTTTTTATGCCTACTCGATATTTTCGGAGTCACTTTTGAAATTACATCTAGGTGGTCATGATTTGAAGTAAAATAGTCTAAGGATCTCAGGTGATATCAGAAAATTACAATCGCGAAGTTTCAGTGACAAGTATGATAGATATGAATAAGACAAGTTGGCAGAATTACATTTTCGTGTCTAACTATTATTTTTCAAATGGCGACCATTTTTTGACAAGCACTTTCCGAAAAAAGGATATTTTGACGAATCTAACCATACTAATTTATTTGCGATTGGATTACAAATAAGAACATGAATTAAATATTACTGACGAAAATACTTCATAATAATTTATTTACTTTTGTCGAGTGTGCCATGGATAATAATTCATTTACTTTTGTAAGCACTTCCCGAAAAAAGGATATTTTGACGAATCTAACGATACTAATTTATTTGCGATTGGATCAACAAACTTGTTGTTGATTTTGTTGGGCCCAGTACCAAGAATTTTGCTCATTAAACAAGCCATTATTTGTAAATCGTGATTCGTATCGGAAAATAGAATGAAGTTGATAAAATTTGGGTTAACTCTATGATTTTGAAGCAACCAATCACAAAACACTACTCGTCTATCGCCATCGTCAGCATACAAATGTTGATGTAACTGATATTTAAATGCTCGATATCCGTGCTTTTTCAATATTTTTCTTGCTGATTCGTGACTTATCTGCATTTCTCGACTAAATTTTTCTTAAAGAAACCGTGGTAAAACTGCATTTAGCTTGCGATGGGTTTTTTTTCGAAAATTTTTTTTGGTACTTACGTATTTTTGTCTGAAAAACACGAATTTGTGAAGATGATATACTGGTACAATGAACCAGTATATCACCTGACGAAGCTACTGTGTTAGCGAAACATGTCGTGTGTTTGAGAATTTCGTGGAAATCTTATCGTTTGTGAAGTTTTTACATTCGACTCTAGTTGCCATCTATTTTCATGGATGCTTTTATAATGAACAAACAAGCAACAGTTAGTATTTTATCTTGACGAAAAATCTCTTTACATGACGATCTGTAGTCTAGATTGAAAATCAGCCTCAGTAATGCATTCTGTTTTATGAAAATTCTGTCCACTTCAGTTGCTAAACCCCAGACAGCAATGTTGTTGTGAATGATTGACTGAAAGTGAGTCAATATTTCAAGCTAACATCGTTTTTAAAGAAGCAAAATGGGGGATACCGACTGAAAGAGGTCGAACTCTTTACAAAACTGAATTTTCCAGATTTATGGAAGAGGCACTTGATCAGTGCTTTTTCATTTCCTGTGTTATATGATAATAAATACTACTGCTATGAAAAGTAGCGCATTTCTCATAGCTAACTTCGTTTCAAAACACCATGTATTGCTCATACTGTGAGAAATATTTTTTCTCACGGCACTTTGCCAACACCACATACATTTCCATCGAGAATCAACAAGAATCGACCAAAACTTTGCTGCTGTTCAGCTTTGAATAGTTGTCACAACTGTCAGAAGAAGTTTCTTAAATTCTTTAGGGTAGTTCTCATTAGTGCTTTTGATAGAAATCGCATTTTCCATCAAATATTATTCCAACAATTCATAATAAATAATATGATGTATATATCGAGATTTGACGATTTCGATAAATACACCGCCAGAAACAGAGATGATGGAAAAAGCTGCGAAAGTTGGATCTGTTTCCGGAAATTAAAAAAAAAAAGTATGAATTGGCATAAACGAAAAATTTATGGAATCTAAAATAATACAGAAATAAAATCTTTTTCGGAAAGTGTACCTTCTTGAAATACTTTGAGGGACTAGGAAAGGCGTCTACTCTTTGGTCTCAATACACAATACATTACTCGGATTCTTTGAATAAGTGCAGTTGTAGAAAAAGTATAGTGTGCAACATGTGGGGAAAATTTGAACTTTTCCCACTTGTTGCACAATATACTATTTCCTAACACGTGCGCAAAGTGCCGTTTCCGCACGCAAAAACAGTTAGGCAACCGAGGCGCACTTGTCAGGAAAATAACTATTTTCGATGAAGGATCGCACCTCCGGTGGAGCAGTCGTTCAGCAGCACCGGCGCCAGCTCCAGCAATCCCAACGTTTCGGCCAGCGGCAGCGCCGCCGTCAGGAACTTCGACACCGAGCTGGAACAGTTAGTCACCTCCATATTGACCGAGATCGAGCGGAACGAAACGGTCGAGGGGAGGGAAAGGACTCCGGACGGGAACTCTCAAACTGCACATGGTGAGTTCCGATCAGTTGAATCGAAGATAATGGGGAAGTTTCCTTCAGATGCATTTTCATGAAATTAGTTCGGAACTCTTTAGTTTCATGTCCACGCTGTACAGAATGGCGATCGATAAAGTTCAAGTCGTTTTTATTTTCGAAATACAGCGATTTTTTAATTTTCGGGGCGGCAAACTGCGACGTACATCCTGAATCTAGTCTGAATTTTAGCTGATGAAGAATATAGCTAGCGCTAACGAATAAAAGCAATGAACTGAATGTAAACAACTGGAAGGGACCCACTGTGAACGACGAGCGAGGCAAAAATATATTTCAGGCAACCCGCAGTGTTTACGGATACCTATCTCTCTCTATCTTATGTTCGCTAATGGACAGCGCTCGCATAATTTGAAATATTTTCTCGTTTTTTGCTTCTATTTAAGAGTTAACGTGATTAAATAAAAATATTCATTTAGGAAAAAGGATAATGTTGTACAATCATCATTAAAAAATTATTACTGACTTTTTTATTTACTTTAAAATGAAATTTCAATTTTACTCATACAGGATCAAGAAGTCAAATGAATGCACAATTGGAATTATATATTTTATTCAAATGTCACAATATATTGTACAGGGTGAGCGAAGCACAATGTCTCTGCGAAACTTGGGAGCTGGAAGTGGTAGGCAAGTCAAAGTCAATAACATGGGAAACTTCTTCCTTTGGACCCAAGTTATGAACGTCCACAGATGCATCCTGAAAACAAATTACTAGCTAGTTTTTTTTTATTTTAAAGAGATGCAAACATACTTTTTTTTTATTATTAATCGACCAGGTACCTACGAGTTTCCTTATTTTCCTGGGGGAATCAGCATTTTCTTGGAACAAATGCTGAGAAAATGAAAATATACTGGATACTGCATCTGCTTTCAAAAACCTAGCAGTACCTGGTATGCCTAGATAATCTGTTGGCAGGGAATGCTCCCCACAAAGCTTGCTGCTTTTAGTTGGAGTCCAATTCTCTCTACGAACTGCCTTTATCCATAATTCGAGAATGTCTGGTCTTTTGAATGGAAAACTGCAACAAATAATATTACTCAATATCAATATAATATGGAAGTATTTAACTTTGACAAATAATATAGGTATAGTTTTTGAACATATTCTGAGACTGGGAACATTGTATACCTAACTGATGATCATTTCAAGAACTATATTTTTCAAAAATCTGAGAACAATATTCAACTTACCCATGGAATACCAATTTCCTTTTGTCTTGTTCGTTCTTGCATCCAAAGGCGACACAATAAATCACCATTGTTAATCAATATTAATCAAAAACCTTCTCAACAATCAGTTCAGTGTTCACAACGACAAATTCAGTCGTTTTGATACAACAAAACACGCCAAATGAATAGATATTTCACCTCGTATTTCACATAAACGAAGATAATGAACTTATGTCTTCACTTTCTTGCCTGTCTGGATGAGAGAAAAAAATTCTTAACTACTTTAATTATGAGATAAAAGAAAATTTATACACCAATCCACCATTAAACAACACGAGTTGGAAGAGGACAGGTTACCGTCCCTGCCCCTGACACACTTTGTGCTATTCGAGAGAACGGTAGTCTCCCTTCCAGTTTGAGTTCATTGAATAAAAGTCGAATGAAAAAAATAGAAGAAGACAAGTTGGCGTCGTTGTTCATGTTTATAGGTCGCATGCACGATGAAACACAACCTCACTTAACTGTTGAACATTGAAACACAACCTCACTTTTTTTATTTGTTCACAGAGGAATCAAAAGATTGAAATAGTTTTTCACAATATTTTGGCATACGAATCGTGTTTCTTGCGCTATTCATTAATTCCATCAAGCCTTCTCATTGTGCTGTTGTGCAATTCACAAAAAATGCAGCTAGAGACGAAGGAATCCGGTTGGTACATTATGATATAATCACTCACACATAGTTTTCATTTTCTTCCCGAAAGTAGAGGGAACAGCATCTCAATTGATATTGCTATTTGAAATATTTTGGATAAATCCAAAAACATCTCATGAAATAACCAATGCTGAATGATACAATTCCATTGTTTTTAATGCATATCTTCTGTAAGACTATTTGACAAATACTCTCCTGATGATGGCCTAGAGCCGAAAACGTTTGAGTTGACTAATAAATATTGTATACTATAGCCCGAGTATTACTCATTAATATTGATTATTAAATTCCTTTTAGTTTTATGACAAGCTTTAAGAGAAGCTGGGATAGCTTTTATGAGAAGGTTGTTTAATTGTTTTAAAATAGGCTATAAAAATCTCCTGTAGCTAACAATAAAACTGATAATGTTATTCGGGTAGTAGTAGATCATTTTTCATTGCTCAAGATTTTTTTCAGCTATCCCATCGCTCCGCCCGCCGACAACCAACTGGACCCCGCCCCCGTACCGCCCACGCCCCCTTCTCGTACCACCCGAAGAAACCACCCCGCCCCCCTCCCAAAACGCCTCCCCTCTGCCAACCTCGACGGCCGGCAGCAACCTCCTCTTCCAGGAGATCATCCAGCTGTTGCAGAACCGGGAGAACGGGGAAAGCCCCCCGAATCCCAGTCAATCCAATGTTCTCAGCAATACCAACACGAGAACAACGAATTCCACCGTGTATACTACGTCGAGCGGGGGCGGGTTGCAGTTGCCTCCCAGGAGGAGGTTTTTCTCTCACAGGATATCGGCTTTTATGCCTACGAGGGTGAACTATACGAGGAGTCCTAGTCCGAGGCTGAGGAGGAGTCCTCTGCAGTTGTACAGGGGGATGAGGCTGGGTATGTTGTGACTTTAGTTTACTTATAACAGAATTTTCTATATTTCATACTTATACATTATTCCAAATTTTTTGGGATTTTCTCTCCTCGTTTCTATAAAATAAAAATATGAATATTATTTCAATATACGTGTAGTAAGGACAAATCAGATGATTTGCCCCAAAATGTCACTGCGTTTAAAGAATTTTCCTATCAGAGAGCCTAAAAGAAAAATTCACTAGCTTGTCAGTGACAATTTGTATTGAAAAAATTTTTGGAGAAGGGAAATAAAGGTATATAGAAAAAATATCAAATTTTCACTTATCTTTGGACGTTTCGGGACCGGTTCTGCTCCCGTTTTCAACATAAGAAGAGATTATTTCAATAGCGAAGTCGTATAATGTCTTGAAGCTTTTCAGTTTTCAATGACAATTGGTGACGTTGGCAATCAAATGAGTTACAGGATGTTTTCATTAATTGATCTTGAATTTACCATTTTCATGTTCAGATTTTAGTAGTGAATACCATGTTCTGTCTATATCAACTGAACAAGAAGCAATGTTATTGTCTCCGTTCAGAAGAATGCAAGCAGATTCCTTGATTTTTCTCTTCTGGTTGTTATCTTCTTTTCCAATAATTTTAATATTATTCCACTCTGCCATATGTTGTCCGTCTTCAGTAAGGATATGTTCAGCTAGTTTCGATTTATCGATGTTTCTTTTCTTTATATTGTACTTATGTTCCTTCGTCCTTACTGAAAGAGGTCTAATAATCAATTACCGTTTCTAGATGTTCTTATTGAAAAATCAAATAACATCTTTGTAACGAGTGTTTATCGTAAAAAGACCCATACTAACAGATACTTGAACTTTCAATCAAATCATCAGAAAAGTATTAAGAAAGGAATAATCAAATCACTCCATGATAGAGCCAAATCAATATCATCTGACCAACAAATTTTCAATAACGAAGTCCAACATATTAAAAATGTTCTCCAACTCAATTCTTATCCAAAGAATTTTGTCGATAGGACGATTCATCGAATTGAAAACAAACAGGGTCAACCACAACAAAATCAACCATCAATAACGACAAATATAATACCATACATTCCCGGCATATCTGAAAAAATAAAACGTGTTGGTGATAAATTTCAAGTGAAAACTGTGTTCAAAACTGAAAATACAATGAGATCAATTCTAACTCAAACAAAGCCGAAAAATGAAGAACAATCATCAAAAAATTGTATTTACAGTATACCTTGTGTTTGTGGAAAGTTTTATACAGGTGAAAACCAAGAGACCTCTTTCAGTAAGGACGAAGGAACATAAGTACAATATAAAGAAAAGAAACATCGATAAATCGAAACTAGCTGAACATATCCTTACTGAAGACGGACAACATATGGCAGAGTGGAATAATATTAAAATTATTGGAAAAGAAGATAACAACCAGAAGAGAAAAATCAAGGAATCTGCTTGCATTCTTCTGAACGGAGACAATAACATTGCTTCTTGTTCAGTTGATATAGACAGAACATGGTATTCACTACTAAAATCTGAACATGAAAATGGTAAATTCAAGATCAATTAATGAAAACATCCTGTAACTCATTTGATTGCCAACGTCACCAATTGTCATTGAAAACTGAAAAGCTTCAAGACATTATACGACTTCGCTATTGAAATAATCTCTTCTTATGTTGAAAACGGGAGCAGAACCGGTCCCGAAACGTCCAAAGATAAGTGAAAATTTGATATTTTTTCTATATACCTTTATTTCCCTTCTCCAAAAATTTTTTCAATACAAATTGTCACTGACAAGCTAGTGAATTTTTCTTTAAACGCAGTGACATTTTGGGGCAAATCATCTGATTTGTCCTTACTACACGTATATTGAAATAATATTCATATTTTTATTTTATAGAAACGAGGAGAGAAAATCCCAAAAAATTTGGAATAATGAATATACCACCTCCTCGATTAACCTACAGACAGTATTCATACTTATAGTTTATAACTCATTGCTGTCTAATCGATAATTCAAGAAGATATTTTCGGATAAAACATCTCATTCAACTCGGCATAAACTATGAGTTACGTTTGTGCCCCTAGCAGTTGTGGTTCGTAGAAGCACCTTTGCAGTTTTTTTGAAACTAATTTTATTTTGAATAACTCTTTTTCAACACCCACTCTACACAATGAAAGATTGTCTTTTCTCGATGCGTTTTTAATGAAGTTGAAAATGCAGGCTACAAGTGACAAAAATGGAATGTTATATAAAATACATATTTCATTTTTATATCATGATCTAGAAGATAATTTACGGTATAAAAATATTCAGCAAAGATAAAGTCCGGTAGGAAGCTGACTCTGCATTCTGGATGTCTTCGCATTGTCTCCATAGACAGGTCCGGCTTCAGGAACATAACTTATGACAAGAAATAGAACAATTTGCAAAACATAAAAATACACTCATACCAACATAATTGTCAGAAATTCACTACTTTTTAGCGGGGTTGGCACGGATTAATTCATATGAAATAAGTTTTTCCAATGCGAACAAATTGCATAATTTGAGCGTTTAGAGAGAGAAAAAACTTCTTCGCCATCTGTCCTTGTCTTCAGTATTCCAACGTGAAAAAATGGAAATTTTATGTTGGTTACATTGGAAATGGAAAAAAATGGAGAAGAAGATCATATTAACCTCAATATAAAAAAAGACAGAATGGTCTTCTTCTCCATTTCTTCTCATTTCCAGTGTTGCCAACATAAAATTTTCATTATTTTACACTGATAACAAGGACTAATGGGGAAGACATTTTTTGCTCTCTCGACGCTAGCTGAACTGCTATTCAAACTATAATCTTTGTAAGAAGTATCATTTGTTGTTCTTATTGTTATCAATGGTTTTCCGGCTATTGTGTGATCAGTTTTCGGTGTTTCAGTAACTCTTCTGATATTATAAATATAAAACGGTCTATCTCTGTTAGGAAAAGTTAGTCACAAGTATGCTAACCAGATATTTCTCAGGTACGTAGAAATTTGGTCCAGCGGCGATCTTGTTTGAGGGCTTGCTTTTGTTAACGAAAAGCGTGTTAAAAATATAAAAAATATCAAATAACCTCACTAAGGCACAAAATGGCGTATTATTATGTTACATCTTGTGAGAGTTAATTCATTGATGCTCATACATACATTTATAGAATTCCCAATTTTTTAGATTTATAAAATACATGTACAGTGTGAGACACTCAAGAATTTTGAGAGATAGGCTAGTAAGGGAGACTAAATTCGATTAACCTACATTTGATACAATAATAATGGGCGTGTACACCTTAGTAGAACTTTTAACTCAAACCATGTTTATAATGATCCTTTTATACATAAATAATGATTTACGACATAATTCGATCGAAAAATTAACTGGAATGTTTTATTTTTGGACATAAATGATAGTACCTTCTGAAAACGGAGACCCTCTTATGACGTAGAAACCCCATCTCGTCATATATATATATATAAACCATATATATCTACTACTGATATATGAATCATAGCTCTCCTCAAAGCGGGACCCATTTCTGTATAGGTAATGAAATCGACCAATAGGCGTTGATACCGACGTTGGGAAAAAATAATAGGAAATTTGTCAAACCAATATGGCTGTTTCCATCCTTCACTTTTCGTTCTCATAGATTCAAAGAGTACCTCTCATTTTGGTCCCATTTTTGTTGAGATATCGTATAGGCGATGCGCCATATATAGAAATAGTAGATATATGGTTGAAACTGACACTCTCCTGACACTTATTACTGTTGCCATATCATCCAAACAAAATATCCGAGAAATCGAAATCGATATTGAAATATCTTTTGATATCCACTACCACTACTGCAGAAAAATATATTCGAGTTGTCGATTGTAGGTTGAATCATTGGAGTATAAACAATCTCTAGACAACGAAATGTCTCAATCTCAAAACCATTTGCACCATTACAATTTCACAATAATCCAATATATTTCATAAACATAGCAACATTGCTTTGTTGACCCGTTTCACATGGAGCTGCAAAAAGTCAATCTAGGTTAGAATTGATTTGTCAGAAATCATGTATCATTCATCTCTGTCTGGAATAGTCTTGTTTCAGTATTAGGGATCTGACGTCACATCATCGCCTCGTTTTCAGAGGTCTGAAAAATCGGGGATTTCAATAATTTTTTATAAAACGTAGGGAGCTCACAGCAAGAAACGGTTTGCGGTGGTGAGCTAGTTTGGGTGAGTTCTATCGAATTATGAAATAATTTTTTTTTGTGACATAAGCCCATTTTCAGGTCCATGTTAGTTATACCTACTTTTCTTTACTTATTTGTATAATTGCTTCACCTCTTATATTATGTGATGTACTGTCCTGGGGCTCATTAGCGCATTTCATATTTAGGTTTTCGACGTTTCGCTCAACCACGTGATTTTGATGAACTTTTGAAGCAAATAAATAGTCTCCTGAACCATCAGCGTTTCTATCAGCAAACCCACCAAACCCCTGAGACTGTTACAAAGTTTATACATGTTTATACTTTCCTCTGACTCAACTTATTTGTAGGGGAGTCGGCTCAATGGGCTTATATCACACAAAAATTGTATGTCATAATTCGATAGAACTCACCCAAACTAGCTCACCACCGCAAACCGTTTCTTGCTGTGAGCTCCCTACGTTTTATAAAAAATTATTGAAATCCCCGATTTTTCGGACCTCTGAAAACGAGGCGATGATGTGACGTCAAAACCCTAATACTGAAACAAGACTATTCCAGACAGAGATGAATGATACATGATTTCTGACAGAATGAATTAGCGCAAGATCACAGTTGAAAGAATTAATATATCAGTTGCCTCAGTCTCCGTCGGGCGTTTGGTATTTTCTTTTAACTATGGCGAGATGAGGTTTCTACGTCATAAGAGTGTCCGTTTTCAGAAGGTACTATTATTTATGTCCAAAATTAAACATTCCAGTTAATTTTTCGATCGAATTATGTCGTCAATCATTATTTATGTATAAAAGGATCATTTTAAACATGGTTTGAGTTGAAAGTTCTACTAAGGTGTACACGCCCATTCTTTTATATTTCATTATTCCTTTTTGCCCAGGTTCTATAGGGTTAAGTAATCCTACCACCTTCGGCTTGGACGAGCTCATCAATTATTCCGAGCTGGAAAATTCCGAGGACGATCCGCCGCCCCCGCCACCCCCGCCCGACGAAAACCACCCCGCCGATCCGACCGATCCGGAATCGGACATCAGCAGCATGTACTCGAACATCGTGCAGGAGCTGGAATCCAGTTTGGAGAACGTGGTCAGGTTGCGGGTGAGTGGGCGATAACAATAATAATAATAAATGTAAAAACTTCACAAACGATAAGATTTCCACAAAATTTATTAAACACACGACATGTTTCGCTAACACAGAAGCTTCGTCAGGTGATATACTGGTACAATGAACTAAACTAACGTTGGCTTGCTTAACTTTTATATATCTTACCATCCCAACCTGAAGGATTAGTTACCTGTGGACAGGTACGATAAACCTCCATTTTCGGAAATTAGGCACAATATCTACATTAAATCACGGTATACCGGATTAACTTGAAAGAGTTGATATCAAATACATATTATTACTTACTAAGAAAACAAATTCAACAGTGGTGAACTATTAAGGTCTAATTGATCATTAAGTAAAATGTCAAAATTTTTGAGTTTGTTGATTTCTAATGATTCAAAATGATTGAGTTTCAGTCCTTTATTTTCTACGTGCAGAATTTCGAAATTATCATCAAAACTATGGTTTTCTTCTAATATATGGTTGGCGTATGTTGAATTTGTTTTCTTTTTCATAAAATTCATCTTATGTTCATGAATGCGCTGATTAAACGTACGACCTGTCTGACCGATATATACCTTAGGACAAGATCCACATTTGAGTTTGTATACCCCTGATTTTTCGAATTTAGAAGTTTTGTCTTTATTATTCTTGATAAACCGTCCCAACGTGTTATTTGTTCTATATGCCACTTTTAAGTCCTGTTTATGTAGAAATGAAGCTAATTTCTCAGTTGATGATTCGAAATAGGTTAAAGTTCTATAATTTTGATTATTATTCTTGATGGTAGGATAAACTTCTTGTTGCAGTCAACAACGGATACAACGTTAATTTGATAGACAGTATTCTTTCTGAAAAACTTCATCATAAAGCTATTCAAGAAGTAGGTTCAACAAGGCTCCTTTTTGACAAATGTGTAGTACTTCTAAATCAGTGTCCATGTTGAAAGAATGTTTAGAATTTAAAATGTGGTTGGCATAACAAGTTTAACATGCTCTGTGACCCTAGTGTGAATCCTCCTACCACTCAGACCTATATATTGAGCATTACAGTTTTGATCTGAGGTAAGAAATTTTGTAGATCCTGATCTATGTAAAAGATAATAATAATAATGTTCGATGCCCAGCGCCTCCACCACCTGTCACAACTCAGATGTCGGCCCCTCTTTGGGTTGTTACTTAGCTACTCGCTTGGCTTTTTGATGAGAAGTTTTGATCATTCCACCACCCAACCATATTCAACCCCAAATAAAGAGTCAGGACAGTTTTCATATAAAATAAACATTTATTGATTTACATGGAAAAGTCATTAATAAATGCTGCCACATGGCAGGTTTGCAGAGAAAAACCATAGTGAATTGCCAAATAAAACAACACAAAATAATTCAGAGAAGAAACATGAACAAATAGTTCTTCCATTTGCCCTACTTTACTAAAATAATAATAATAATAATAATCATACTCGGATCGTTGCGTTTGCTCAGGGCACATGGTACTTGGTCCCTTACTCGCGGGATGTGTGGAGTGGTCACCGGATTTTATCCAGCTCGACTCTGCGTGGCGGGGACCGTGGCTAAATTGAATATAAATTCTTCATAATCAAAAAATTAATATCAGATGGAAGTACATGGATGTTGAATCTGAGACATACCTAAATAATATTTTCAACGTCCGTAACTGGATTGCTACATATCCGCTCTCTCTCCGAATAGTGGATTTTCCAGTAGGCATCTTCCACATTTCCAATTACGTGGGTTATATTAAGGATCTTGCATGCCAAAAAATGTGCTGCTCGGATCTAAAACAAAGTATCAATTTCAAATTTGAATCGTGAGACCTACATAAAGTATTAATCCATGAAAAGTCTGGATATTGTTTTCAACATTCGTAACTGGAACGCGATATATTTTTTTAATTCATCAACTATCTCAATGAAGACGAGGCAGGCAGATAAACAACAATTTTCTCTGCAATGAAGAACACTGTATATACCTAACCCACCATGCGCCTACCTCCTTTGCAGAGAGGGTTTATAAACGCCGAGTTGATACTCTCCCCTCGTAAGGGTACCTGTCGTGTTTCATAGAGACATAAAGGTGGATATCTGTCTATCTGTTTCCTTGAGAATCTGGAAAGGATATCAATATATCGCCTTCCGTACGAATATAAGGATCTGAATTCTGTAAAGTATACTCTGGTCAGTTCTCTTTGCGGATCTTCTATTAGGTTCGTCTTGACTGGGTGGTTTTCTCCGATTGGATGGCAAGTATCAAAACACTGCTTTTCGGATCTGCAACTAAACATCACATATTAATCAAAGTACATTTAACTGAGACATACCTGAATATTATTTTCATCGTCTGTAACTGGATTGCTACATATCCGCTCTCTTTCCGAATAGTGGATTTTCCAGTAGGCATCTTCCACATTTCCAATTACGTGGGTTATATTAAGGATCTTGCATGCCAAAATATGTGCTGCTCGGATCTAAAACAAAGTATCAATTTCAAATTTGAATCGTGAGACCTACATAGAGTATTAATCCATGAGAAGTCTGGATATTGTTTTCAACATTCGTAACTGGAACGCGATATATTTTTGTAATTCATCAACTATCTCAATGAAGACGAGGCAGGCAGATAAACAACAATTTTCTCTGCAATGAAGAACACTGTATATACCTAACCCACCATGCGCCTACCTCCTTTGCAGAGAGGGTTTATAAACGCCGAGTTGATACTCTCCCCTCGTAAGGGTACCTGTCGTGTTTCATAGAGACATAAAGGTGGATATCTGTCTATCTGTTTCCTTGAGAATCTGGAAAGGATATCAATATATCGCCTTCCGTACGAATATAAGGATCTGAATTCTGTAAAGTATACTCTCATCAGTTCTCTTTGCGGATCTTCTATTAGGTTCGTCTTGACTGTGTGGTTTCTCCGATTGGGTGGCAAGTATCAAACACTGCTTTTTGGATCTGCAACTAAACATCAAATATTAATCGAAGTACATTTAACTGAGACATACCTGCATGATATTTTCATCGTCCTCAATTGGATTGCTACATATCCGCTTTCTTTTCGAATAGTGGCTTTTCCAGTAGGTATCTTCCACATTTTCAATTAGGTGGGTTATATCAAGGACTTGCCATGCCAAAAAATGTGCTGCTCGGATCTAAAACTAAGGATCAATATCAAATTTGAATCGTGAGACCTAGATAGAATATAAATCTATGAAAAGTCTGGATATTGTTTTCAACATTCGTAACTGGAACGCGATATATTTTTGTAATTCATCAACTATCTCAATGAAGACGAGGCAGGCAGATAAACAACAATTTTCTCTGCAATGAAGAACACTGTATATACCTAACCCACCATGCGCCTACCTCCTTTGCAGAGAGGGTTTATAAACGCCGAGTTGATACTCTCCCCTCGTAAGGGTACCTGTCGTGTTTCCATAGAGACATAAAGGTGAATATCTGTCTATCTGTTTCCTTGAGAATCTGGAAAGGATATCAATATATCGCCTTCCGTACGAATATAAGGATCTGAATTCTGTAAAGTATACTCTGGTCAGTTCTCTTTGCGGATCTTCTGTTTGGTTCGTCTTGACTGGGTGGTTTTCTCCGATTGGGTGGCAAGTATCAAACACTGCTTTTTGGATCTGCAACTAAACATCACATATTAATCGAAGTCTACTTAACTGAGACATACCTGAATGATATTTTCATCGTCCGTAATTGGATTGCTACATATCCACTTTCTTTTCGAATAGTGGCTTTTCCAGTAGGCATCTTCCACATTTCCAATTACGTTGGTATGCCAAAAAATGTGCTGCTCGGATCTAAAACTATGAATCAATTTCAAATCTGAATCGTGAGACCTACATAGAATATAAATCTATGGAAAGTCTGGATGTTGTTTTCAACATTCGTAACTGGAACGCGATATATTTTTGTAATTCATCAACTATCTCAATGAAGACGAGGCAGGCAGATAAACAACAATTTTCTCTGCAATGAAGAACACTGTATATACCTAACCCACCATGCGCCTACCTCCTTTGCAGAGAGGGTTTATAAACGCCGAGTTGATACTCTCCCCTCGTAAGGGTACCTGTCGTGTTTCATAGAGACATAAAGATGGATATCTGTCTATCTGTTTCCTTGAGAATCTGGAAAGGATATCAATATATCGCCTTCCGTACGAATATAAGGATCTGAATTCTGTAAAGTATACTCCCGTCAGTTCTCTTTGCGGATCTTCTATTAGGTTCGTCTTGACTGGGTGGTTTTCTCCGATTGGATGGCAAGTATCAAAATACTGCTTTTCGGATCTGCAACTAAACATCACATATTAATCAAAGTACATTTAACTGAGACATACCTGAATGATATTTTCATCGTCTGTAACTGGATTGCTACATATCCGCTCTCTTTCCGAATAGTGGATTTTCCAGTAGGCATCTTCCACATTTTCAATTACGTGGGTTATATTAAGGATCTTGCATGCCAAAAAATCTGCTGCTCGGATCTGAAACAAAATATCAATTTCAAATTTGAATCGTGAGACCTACATAGAGTATTAATCTATGAAAAGTCTGGATATTGTTTTCAACATTCGTAACTGGAACGCGATATATTTTTGTAATTCATCAACTATCTCAATGAAGACGAGGCAGGCAGATAAACAACAATTTTCTCTGCAATGAAGAACACTGTATATACCTAACCCACCATGCGCCTACCTCCTTTGCAGAGAGGGTTTATGAACGCGGAGTTGATACTCTCCCCTCGTAAGGGTACCTGTCGTGTTTCATAGAGACATAAAGGTGGATATCTGTCTATCTGTTTCCTTGAGAATCTGGAAAGGATATCAATATATCGCCTTCCGTACGAATATAAGGATCTGAATTCTGTAAAGTATACTCTGGTCAGTTCTCTTTGCGGATCTTCTGTTCGGTTCGTCTTGACTGGGTGGTTTTCTC